TACGCGAATAATTGTGCAGCTTGTTTTGCACTTAACGTAGTTTAGCCTTGCCGCTTCATCTCCGTTCGTAGGCATGCTTTTCACCTATGTGATTGCTGACAAAATGCGCATATGGTGCAATGCTCTGAAACTATCTGAAACATGGCTGTCTGCAGCTTTGGAATCTCATCATTATCCAGCTTTTTACTGCAGTGGATCAAAAGGGGTAGGTGGTGGACGAGAAATTTACATTGATGATCATCTTCATCCTAAACAACTTAGCAATCCTGTTTTTTCCACAGCTGAAGTGGTTTGTGCTGAACTACTGTGTGATAATGCAAATATTATTTGTCAAATTTATAGGTAGCCCAACACTGATGAACACCACTTAAGCTCAGAGCTAGAGCAATGCCTAATATGGCTTTAAAAAATGTACTGAGCATCATTTATTACTGGTGATTTCAACTTTGATCTGTTTTCACTTGATATCAGTCCTAATGTGCAAGCATTTTTCACTAGCATGTGTTCAAATGGCTTGTTTCCTACAATATACTGGGCAACATGATCTTGGTATCCATCATATACTCTTCTATATGACATATTTTGCAATGTCTTATCGAAAGTGATGCACACAGACATTCTCCCTCATGATCTGTCAGATCATTTCCCTACTTTTGCTTTGATGAACTATGCCTCACACACACACACACACACATACCTGATGTTAAAACACATACTTCCACACTTGATTGAAGAAAGCTGGAAGAATTGAAACAATTCCTTGTTAATCATCTTGTTGATATTGAAAATGAGCCAGAACCCCATACTATTATAATTCAAATTATATATGGTTACAATGCTGGGATCACCAGGTTCTCCCACATGAGGCACATTTCTAAAAAACCAGCCCATGCAAACCATGGTTGTTACCTGCACTTCTCCTGTCAGATACACATAAAAGCTTTTTGAACAGAAATTGAACCACCCCAATCCTTAAAAAAGCAAAATGCACTTTTTCTTATAACATCCTTGCTACATCTCCTAGACTAGCCAAAAATAAATACTAGTGATGAATTCATTTAGCATTCTGGCAACTTCAAGGAAACATGGAAAACATTACACACTCATGAATTCAACACAACAAAAGCATGCAGACCCAACAAGGATTACTAAGGCTATTGACAAAATTATCACAGATGATTCGGATATGGCGGAATCATTTAATTGCATCTTCGCCGAGGTTGGACAAAAGTTAAAAGACGAGATTCTTAATTCATCATTCAACCACGTCCAGGTCAATCTACGCAAATGTAGAAAAATGAAATGGATCTGCCCCTCACTAGTGAAGAGGAATTGGTTGTTGTCATGAATAGACTAAACAACGTCGGAGCTGGAGTAGACAATATTAATTAAAAAGAATTCAAGTTATTTTGCAGGGTAATGCTCAAAGCAACTCTCCATCTTTTCAACAGCTGTTTGGCACCGGGGATATTTCAAGGTATTTTTTAAAAACCGTGACTAAACCCATCTTTAACAGTGGGGACTCTAAGTTTGTAAATAATTACAGACCTTTCAGTATTTTGACGTTTATATCCAAAATTCTCGAGAAACTCATAGATAATAGCCTCGTCCTTCATCTAAACCGTGTCGCGTTCGATTTACTCACAAATTACAATGAAATTTAGCTCACAGATAGAGCTAATTATGCCACTGATGAATATATAAGACACTAAGTGTGATATCCAAAAACAAAGGAGTTATAAAAGATCAAAGTTCAAGGTCATTCTAGGTCATTGCTTAGTGAATCCAGTGAACCTGCCTGGACTCGACAGAATTTGACTAAATTTGGTATGTTGGTAGAACAAAGCAACCAATTAATAAAATCACATTTTTCAAATGTGACATTTAAAACCACGCCCGCAAACAACCATAGAAGTTCAAGGTCACTCAAAATCAGACTCTTTTGATTACTTAGAAATTTTGCAAAAAAGTTAGCATCGCATCTCTCCACCTAGCCTTCAAATACTACATTATGACATTCAAAGGTTCGTCTTCCAGAGGCATTCAAATCTTGGAAATGACTGTCTTGCACGTATTAACATATATACACCTCATGTCGGTAAAAAGGCAGAGGGATTCCTTTCATCACGTTGAGATTTGGCACAGATGTGTACTATGTACATACACAGTTTTTCATTACGTAGCAATTTGTGACATTTCCATTCGCGCACTCTAGAGGCTCTCAAACAATGGGATATATGGCATATCTCTAAAACGACACAAACAGCGTCGTAATATGCCACCAAAACCAAACAATGCTGAACAAGTCATCCCCTAGGATATAATTAGTCGTTGTCTCTCATATGATGTGCCATGTGATGGTACGGCACGCAAAATGTGACGTATAAATAAAAAATGTCACATTTGATGTCAGTTTTCACACATTTGTGGACCCCTCTCATTGCTTTGAAATTCTCCACGAATAATCACCTTACATGGTTCCACCTACCCACCAAATATTATAGTATGACATTCAAACGTTCGCCTTCCAGAGGCATTCAAACCTTGAAAATGACGGCTTTGAACTAAATAGATGAGAGATTCCTTTGATCACCTCGAAATTTGTGTATATATACGGTTTTTCACCAAGTGTCAATTTGTGACACTTCCATTCACGCATTCCAAAACCTCTCAAACTATGGGATATATGACATATCTCTAAAACGAGACATTAATAAAAAAGCTTCGCAATAAGCCACCAAGACAAAGGAGCGTTGAACAATGCATCTCCTATGATGTAATTGGCCGTTGCCCATCATATGATGTGCCATGTGACTGTACGATATCCAAAATGTGACCTATAAATCAAAAATGTCACATTCGACGTCGGTTTTCACACATTCGCAGACTCCTCTGATTGCTTTGAAATTTGCCACAACTGATCACATTACATGGTCCCATCTAGCCACCAAATTTGGAGGCATGACATTCAAACGTTCGCCTTCAAGAGGAATACAAACCTTGAAAATGACAGCCTCGCACGTGGTTTAAGTTTTTTCTTCTGGAACAAATTTATCTGTGTTCCTACCACATTCTAGAAGCGACTGATCTTTGCGGGAAAGGCCTCGACCGTTGCGGCAAACAGAGATTAGCCCAGAGCCGTTCGGTCATCACAACCATCCCCATGCCATGATTGTGTACATTGCCAAGACATGAGGCCGTTTGGATCTGCATGGATGTGTGAGTCGGCGCAAGCAACTGTACTGGTCTATTGATTCAGCGCGTGAGTTGCAGAAAACACCTGCTCTCTGTGTGAAAACACCTGCTCTCTCTCTGCTCTCTGTGTGTGAAAACACCTGCTCTCAGAACGGTCTTAGATGTCATGGTGCACACACAGCGGCCAGTCTTGGGCGTGCATTAGGTTTTTTACGCTTCAGAGATGGACGCAAAACACCGTGGCCAATGAATGGGATAGCACGCAAGGCGGTGGAGCATACTAAGCGTGGTATCTTCTTCATAAGCTGCTTGAATTGGTCTTCGGGGCTTCGAATACTTTGAATGCGCCATGCCTCATCAAAACATGGGACTGCATTGAAGGTTTGAATTATATTTCACTTTTCTACGCAGGGTTCTTTTCCAAACTTAGGTACGCATATTCTGCCGTCCAAATTTGTGTCCTAGTGTTAGTTACTTACTCAATTAATGTTCTCGTTCCGATTTTCGGCAGTTAACCAATATCACGCATGTCGAAATGAATAACAAGTGGATAATGGTGAATAATTTATGTTTTACATGCATTTTTAACCAACTGAAGTTAAGTTGTTCTTGGGGTCTCATCAAAGGCACGCCCAGTTAAGCAGGTGATCCATGCCCAGTGCACGCCTGTTCCGTGTGCCTCCTGCCGTAATCTCAGGCGCTTGAATGAGCACATCAACCCGCGCTCCGACCCCACGCGGGCACACGGTCCCTGCCTTGACCTGAGCTTATCACAGGCTGCCCAGAACAGCGGCCCCTTAGCGTCTCAGCATCCCATGCTCGTACCGTTCCCACGGCGTGTCAGTACATCACTGCACACCGCGTCCGGCAACGCCGCTTTCGTCACAGGGCGTCACCGATCGTCACCGGCAACGCTCCGATGACGTCACGGCGCCGGACGAAGGGGGATGGGGGCGGGGGTTATAAAAAGGGTCCGGACGTGACGATCGGCGCATTGTCAGTCCAGTCCGGTCAGCCGCGCGAGCGGGGGTCGTGGAGGGCGTGGTGGCACCATGAGCTCGGTCGCAGTCCTCGCCTGTGTCGCCGTCCTGGTGGCCGTCGGACTCGGCGCGGACGCGGATGTGTTCTCGATTCACGTGCCGAGCGAGCCCAGTGGCCTTTATGGGCTGCCGTCGACGCGCCCGTCCCCATCGGCGTCGTCCCGTCCCGATCCGACCCTCCAGCACAGCCAGCAGGATCAAGAGCCGCGCCCCCCCCCCCCCCTGACGTCCCGTTTCAGGGGTCCCCCACGGGGACAGAGCAGGGCTTTCCGCTCCAGGCGCCCGGGACGGGGACGCGGCAGGGAGGGGATGAAAGACCCTGCTCCGTCTCTACGTTTCGCTTCCCAGTCAAGGGACTTCCCACGGGTAAACGTGAGTAGGGTTGAGGGGAATCGGCAGGTATCTGGGCTGTCCCCAGCTGTTACCAGACGCTCCCGGGGCCTTGCTCGAGGTCACACGGGTGGGGGCTCTCCAGTTTTAGCTCAATCCTTGTTCGTCTCCCCATCAAAGGGTTCATTGCAGGAACCGAGCAGGACGGGTCGGAGCAAGGCGTCTGTGTTCACTTCAATATCCCCCACGCCTTCATCCCGAAGCCAGTCGCGAGGGACAAGGAGGTTTAACCCAAACAGATCGTCTCTTTCTACACGGGTCGCCTTTGCAAACTCACAATTGATGCAACATTCTCGCGAACGGGGCCATGTTGACATGCAGTTATCCGCTGTTGGTTTGTCATGGGATGACCCAAGTTTCGTCAAACAAGCCGGCTTATTGCAAAACTATATTGAAAATTACTCTTAAGACAGCCTCCCTTTTGTTCACTTTTTTCCTCGGCGTATTCTCCCGTGCCGCGACATTCACATATAAACACTATGCTGTGACCAGAGCTAGATATTGATAAATATATGCACGCATTGTAACACGTTTTTTAAATGGTAACATGTTCGGTGGATGACATTCTAGTGCGCCGGCAAGCGGGCATTAGAAATAGTCAGTGCACACGATATCACTATAGTGACTTTTGACGTATCACAAAGCAGCTAAAATATGTTTCCCTTAATATGCTAGCTTATTCCATACTCTCTCGTGCGAATACTTTGCCGCCTCGATTGCAGGCATTCCTCTCGGTCTCCACGATGGCAATGCCCGATAAAAGAAAACAGTGCTGCGTTGCCCAATGGGCAAAAGAACCAGATTCTAAACGGCTATGAAGGCGTAAAATGAAGCACCACCAGGTTTCGGCGCAGGACTGTCGTCACTAAAGTAAATTCAGGCGCGATGACCAAAGGTCAGAGAAAGCTAAGTCAGCCGAAAAGCCCAGTATCCAACAGTCTACGGGAGAGCTCATAATTCAACCGTGTCATTGACACCGCACACCGCCAAAACACTCGCTATCAATAAATAAACTTCGTCGTCTTCTGCTATGTCGTCGCTTCAGCGGATGCCAAATCAGAAGAACTTCTTGGGGTTTTGCTTGGCCACTACAGCCAGCTCGAGCTCTTCATCCTCTTCGAATATCGTGTCGTCACTGTGGGCAAGCAAAATATCAGTCCTGGTTGTCATGGGTATTCGATGACCCGAGATTCCTATATGAACGCGCATGGTCTTATAGACTGACAGCGCGGAAACTGATCCAGCGCGAATTATGCACTGGGACCGCGCACTTCAGGGCAACGATGTTCTGGGGAGACCTAAACAGAGGGTTGGCCCTAATCCAGTACGGCCGATAATACGATAAACTGCCATAATACGATAAACTGCCATAAACTGCCATCTAAATCGACCTTCCTGGGATGTTATTAAGCTGCCGGTTATGGATACTATGGAGTGGGCTTAGGCGATTTGTCGGGATCTAATCTACATGTGGACATGAGATCTAATATATATAATGGAAGCCAATGTGTCTTGTCAATTCATGCTAAAGAGAGAGAAAGAAGAGCTGAATGTAAAAGGATGATGGACTATCACGCAGAGCTTTTAGGAGTTGGGGGTTCCGGATCGTTTACACTATCATGAATAAGAGTTTGGGCACTGTTATGGCAGTTTTAGTCGTTAAGAGTTTTGTCGCGCGCCCGGCTGGCCGACTGAATACCACGCGCTCGTTGGAGGGGGGGGGGGGGGCGGTCAATTTGACCACCGCCCTAAGGTCTCAAAATCAACGGAACTAGAGACACCAAATTCATGGGATGGATTGCCCTGCGTGTAAATTCGCTTGTGTCAAAATTTAAGATTCCTAGGTCATGTTCTTCGAGCCACATTTGGTCACACAAGGTCGAAATCTAGATCGGTGTTCAAAAGTTCCCCGACCTCCCCATGTAACCGCCTTGAATCTGGATACTAGTCCTAAGCGAAAGGCCAATGATGTTCATTTCAGGTTAATGACCTTGTTAACCTTAAGAAGGTCATGGTGACCAAAAACTTACTAGACTGTTTTGGTTTTGTTTTTATTTGAATAAGCGTCCAGAATTACGCTACGCGCATTGCTCCTAAGACAAACCATTGACCTGGACGACTTCAAGTCAGTGCCCTAATCTAACCCTTAACTCTGATCCTTAAGATGTTCATGGAAGATGTGTGCTGCGGTCGCTGGGACTAATTAATTTGAATCGAGCATTGGAAATTACCCACGGAGCAGCATTCCTAATAAAAAGCAGGTTGGTTTTTACCTCAATCTGACCATCATGTATGCCATAAGGTCGAAAGGTATTGTATTTATTCCATATTCTATTATTTGATTTTCAGACTATCTCAGAGATGCATGGCTTTAACACTCCGTTATCACATCCTGTTGGAGGATTCCCCAGGAACCGTCTTCGCTTTCAGCGCCTGACTTTGACCTGCCATAGGTCAGCGACAGTACAGGGCAATTACCCCATTGTTTATGCCAAAACACCTCCTGTTCAATTTCTTATACCGAAGCAAAGTTGTGCGTGGCTATGCCACGGCTTTCGGAAATAATTCTGAAAAACTTTGCATGGAGAGGGCAAAATGACCACCACCCCGACCTGAACGTGTGTCGACAGACAGCTTGGAAATGTTCGACGTGATTATTGAATCTAAACTCCGTTTAATTACTTTTCCATAAGTTAATTTGCGCAACAAGCCATCGGGAGCTAACTGTGAAACAAAAATCGAGTGATAGCAAATAGCACGCATCATTTCTATGCCTAACTGTTAACACCGGAGAACGGATGATGTGGTGCTGCGCCATAATCGCCCTCATACAGTGTTAATACTCTGGTATATCATAACCAGGAGCATTGCAGACATCAACAAACCTGTGAAGAATAAAATCAGAGTTCAATTCTGCCAACTGAATTCACTTGAATGCCATAGAGCTCAGCTTCATGTAAAGAGCTGAAAATTCCTCTCAAATCTACCTCGAGCCATCAGATACACAATTAAAAATTTTAGCCTATCACGACTTAGCTCAATAATTACGAAGACACATCTTGAACAATCTTTGGAGGCTCGAATAACACCGCTTTGTTCCAAAACGGAAATAAAGATAAGCCAATCTCATAATATCACCCACACAAGCAGACCATGCACACCGCGTCCGTAACAAAGAAGGCAAGACCAAAGGGTCAGGACATGTCAAGACCCTTCCAATGAGACTACTAAGCCCACCTGCCGGTGAGCGTCAGTGACCCACTGCCAGTGGTGCGTTCCACAGCACCCCGCGCCGCCCGGTCTGCTCAGTACCTGTACAGCTGGACGCAGATGGGCTGTCGGTAGCAGCCGCCGCTGGGGCACGCCTGCTTCTGCAGCACGCACACCTTGCCCGGAGGACAGCTCTCGCAGAATGGCGCGGTCCGGCTCACGCAGAGTGGCGAGAGAGGGCACGTCTTGCCCGGTTGGCAGAGGCCGCGCGTTGCCGCGCACCGGGTCTCATCCCCGCAGCGGAACCGCACCGTCCGGCACGGATGCACGACCTCCGGCACTGTCCGGCAGGCGGCGCCACGTTAGGTGGTGGTCGGCACGCCGTCCGGCAGGCGGCACCACGTTAGGTGGGGACCGGCACTGTTCGGCAGGCGGCGCCACGTTAGGTGGTGGTCGATAGGTGTTATTGGGTGTTCCGGCTGCTGCTGTCATTTTGCGTTATGTTTGGTGAGAACGGAACACCTGGGTGATGAGTCGTCTCCAGCAATCTCTAACGAACGGCGCCACGTTAGATGAAGCACGTGCGCCGGCATTATCTAGTAAGTGGACCAGATAAGGCGTGAACTGTGCCCTCCCGATCGGAGCAATTTACGGCACTGTTCAACAGGTGACACTGATCCTGTGAGCGCGGAGGAAGTGTATATGCGCTCGACACAGATTCCTTGCGTCCTGCAAGCCTAAGTAACTAGTGGCTACTTCATGCTTGTCATTACTGTAAGCCGACCTAAACAAACAAGCCTACAGCAACCGATGCGCTCTAAACTAAATCGTAATCGCCGCTGCATGTTGTATAAGCGCAGTTTGAAAGGCAAGATCCGGGGAAGCTGTGTCACCGTCGTGGCGTAGTAAACCGCAGAACCTTTTGCTAAGTACCTTTTATGCGATTTTAATCATTGGCTTAATCAAAGAGTGCAACGTTTGAAATGTACAACAGTGAAACAAATTTAAGGTATCCAGAGCTGCAAAGAACATAGACTTCGGATCTCGTAATCCCAGACTGTCTGACATCGCCGTCCGGACCGTGTCAGATCTGCTCTGACAACGACACATTGCCTTACTCTCTTCGTCTTACTGCACGTGCACCACTGCCTTACGTCACGCCTTGGGTCTGCCAGCGGCCATGCACCGGTATCCGACCAACATCCTTGCTGTTGAGCAATGTTCCCATGCTGGCCGAATGGCCTGAGGATTTTCCTGAGCTCGTAACGGTTGCAGTGCCTATTCGCACCTAAGCAGTGCGTCGTGCCCTTGAGATCATTAAGTGAGAACCCACTTTCCGGCTTTCGCGAGACTCACTTGTTTTATTTTTACTAAGCAATCCGCAAAATCGGCGAGCAAATTGAGCTGTGCAAATAACATTTAGAGTACGATGACACTGACTAGACTGGAAATGTTAAGTCGAGCATGCATCTAGCTGCTTAGTTCTGTTTTCAGGGAAGTGATGCTCTCTGTCAAATTGATAACTGATTGAACTAGAGTTTAAGGCAATGGGTCTAAAAAATATTTATCGTTCGGCATCATCCGCAACGAAATGAGAATCAAATGAGTTAATGGTCCAGAAGTCGGGCCTTTGTGACATTTTTCGGAACTGACAAATCAAAAACGGCCAAATGACCGAAATGTCCGGCACCACCGCTCACTGTGACCCGCAGAGCTGTTTGGGCTCGGAGCGGAACACCTACACTCGTGACTCACCTGAGTTCTGACAGGTATGACCACAGCCCGTGTTACAGCACTTGCTGTCGGATTCACAGTCGTAGTCGCTGGTGCACTCTTCGACACATTTGCCCTTGTATCCTTTGGTGAGCTTTGGGCAGAATCCGGGCTTAACTGAAATGAAGTAGCGACGACCACGCAGTGAGTGAATATGCTATGGCTTATCGAACGGTACATCACGCCGCCATGGCCTCTGTGCGGCGAGAACAGCAGCGATCCCGGAACGACGAACGAGATGAGGACGCTCATATTAGCTCCTTGCTCCCGATAATGCCTGGTGTTACAACGCCTGGCAGGGTGTGCCGCTTCACCAGCCGTCAGCAAAAGCAGGTCCTGAGCTCTGTTGCTTTCCTACGTTCGTTTGTATTGCATTCAGTACAGATCAGCGAAAGCCGTCGTCCCGCTGATTTGACTTGTGACATTCTGTGCAGACCAGCGAAAGCCGTCGTCCCGCTGATTTGACTTGTGACATTCTGTGCAGACCAGCGAAAGCCGTCATCCCGCTGATTTGACTTGTGACATTCTGTACAGATCAGCGAAAGCCGTCATCCCGCTGATTTGACTCGTGACATTCTATATAGACCAGCGAAAGTCATCCTCCTGATTTGACTTGTGACATTCTGTAAAGATCAGCGAAAGTCGTCATCCCGCTGATTTGACTCGTGACATATTAGTGACGCGAGATTGGAGTTTGCCGCAACATGCTTATTCCTAACAAATACCGCCTCATCTCACGATATTTTGCGTCTAAGAGCCAGAAGATCATAAAGCATTGCAATCCCGAAACCGACAGCTTTCTCTTACTAGACTTACCCGGGGGACACTCTTCCTGCGAGCACAGCAGGAACTTGTTGATGCAGGTGCAGCTGTTGCATTCGATGTCTATGATATCCCCGTCCTGCTTGCAGGCTGCAACAGACGGCCGTTGACGTCACTGCCTTGTGGCGGATCTGGCGGCGCCCGAGCGTGACGCCGCAACAGTAACACGACAACGCCAACGCCATCACGACCACAGCGACGGCTGACCAGGGCCGCGCCGTGAGTGCCGATCCCGTCAGGGCCTGACGCTGGTCTGGGGCTCGCCGCGGAGGCCGGCCCGCCGCCACGCGACCGTCGCCATCAAACCGCGCGGCTCGCAGCCCCGCCCTATACAGCCCAAAGCCGATTAGGGCGGCGGGGGAGGACGGCTCGCTGAGCCGACTGAGCCGGGGCCCGGAGGGGCGTAACGACATCTCCGCAGACGCCGTTCGACGACGATCCGGCGCGGTACGGAGCTGCACGACCTTGGGCGGCGAGATTCCGGCGAGATTCCCGCTGGAGACGTCCGCTAACATCGGATTAGCAGCCGCGCCGTGATGAAGACTGCTCGAGTCGGCCGACGTTGCCTGCACCGCTGGGAATGAGGAACGTTATGCATGACAGGATTTCCAGGAAGGTGGTCCAAAGGTGAAAGGCCAAGGTTATTCGAGGAGTTGCATCGTGTCATCCGGAGATTAGGCAGGCGGACGGGCCGACCCGGTGGATTAGGCTTGTGAGTCAGAGGCACACCAATCGACTGTCAGCGTTTGACTGATGGCCGAAAAACCGGATTGCATAGCAGCTGACTGCTTGTAGTTGCAATTTCAACGAATTGACGGCATCAAAGCATGTTTAAAAATTTGCTCGATAAATATATAGGGCGAAAACTTTGACATTTTTGACAGCGCGGTAGCGGTGGCCTTGAGTTGTCGGAGATGTCCGGCACGTCACCAATCAAACACACACAAATATCCAGTTCGTTATTTATTTTCGATTTATTTCCACGCTTAAAGCGAGCAAAAATAGGTTGACGCAAGCAGTCATTAGCAAGTTAACGCGAATACGAGTTAAGCACACTTATCGATACCGACCATTCTGGCCACGGAGCACAGCCGGAGGCCAGGGGTCAGTACGGCTCTCACGGTCTAATGAGAAGCCTGCCCTTCCACACGCCTTCACACCATCGCGAAGAAACGTCTAGACCAGCGGAGGAAGGTAGCCAAGGTACTCCTCAAGCTCCTGCTCCACCGTCGGCCTCTTTGTCTTCGGCACGAGCCGCATGCCGAACTTGGGCTCGTAGTCAGGCATGGCGTCAGCGTCGAAGGGCGGCAGCGAGGGCCGCGATCCGCCATGGCTCGGGCGCGGAGAGGTCGGCAGACGATTTGGACGAGCTGGGACGCGGACGGGTGTCTCCGGTTGGGAGAAAGGTGGACGGGGACGGCGGGGCGAGGGCTCCAGCTTGGCTGCAGCCGGCTGCGGGCCTAGTCTCGAGTCGGGCTCATTGTACGGGGGTCGTGGTCGCTGTCCCTGTGTGGATTCCCCTCCAGTACCCGGTGACCCCGGTGACCCTGGTGATCCTCCGCCCGGGGCCCCTTGGTTTCCTCCACTGCCAGGAGTGCCTGGGGTGCCTAAAGTACCCGGTGATCCTGGTGATCCCCTGCCCGGTGCACCCAGAGCTCCTCCTTTGCCAGGAGTGCCTGGGGTACCTTCAATACCTGGTGATCCTAGTGATCCTCTGCCCGGCGGGGCATACTTGTATCCTCCACTGCCAGCAGTGCCTGGGGTACCTCCAGTTCCCGGTGAGCCTGGTGGTCCTTCGCCTGGAGCAACCGATGATCCTCCGCCGCCAGGAGTGCCTGGGGTGCCTAAAGTACCCGGTAATCTTAGTGATCCTTGGCCCGGCGGGGCATACGAGTATCCTCCATAGAAATAGGTGTCTTCGATACCTCCAGTATCTGGTGATCCTGGTGATCCTCTGCCCGGGGCACCGGGGGATCCTCCTATACCAGGAACGCCTGGGGTACCCCCAGTACCCGGTGATCCTGGTGATCCTCTGCCCGGTGCACCTCGGGATCCTCCGCTGCCAGGAGTGCCTGGGGTACCTCCAGTGCCCGGTGAGCCTGGTGATCCTCTGCCCGGGGCACCCGAGTATCCTCCGCTGCCAGGAGTGCCTGGGGTACCTCCAGTGCCTGGTGATCCTGGTGATCCTCTACCGGGGGCACCCGGAGAGCCTCCTATACCAGGAACGCCTGGGGTACCTCCAGTACCCGGTGATCCTGGTGATCCTCTGCCCGGTTCACCCCGGGATCCTCCGCTGCCAGGAATGCCTGGGGTACCTCCAATGCCTGGTGATCCTGGTGATCCTCTGCCCGGTTCACCCCGGGATCCTCCGCTGCCAGGAATGCCTGGGGTACCTCCAGTGCCTGGTGATCCTGGTGATCCTCTACCGGGGGCACCCGGAGAGCCTCCTATACCAGGAACGCCTAGGGTACCTCCAGTACCCGGTGATCCTGGTGATCCTCTGCCCGGTTCACCCCGGGATCCTCCGCTGCCAGGAGTGCCTGGGGTACCTCCAGTACCCGGTGATCCTGGTGATCCTCTGCCCGGGGCACCCGAGTATCCTCCACTGCCAGGAGTGCCTGGGGTACCTCCAGTGCCTGGTGATCCTGGTGATCCTCTGCCGGGGGCACCCGGAGAGCCTCCTCTTCCAGGAACGCCTGGGGAACCTCCAGTGCCTGGTGATCCTGGTGATCCTCTGCCGGGGGCACCCGGAGAGCCTCCTCTTCCAGGAGTGCCTGGGGTACCTCCAGTGCCCGGTGAGCCTGGTGATCCTCTGCCCGGTGCACCTCGAGATCCTCCGCTGCCAGGAGTGCCTGGGGTACCTCCAGTACCCGGTGATCCTGGTGATCCTCTGCCCGGGGCACCCGAGTATTCTCCACTGCCAGGAGTGCCTGGGGTACCTCCAGTGCCTGGTGATCCTGGTGATCCTCTACCAGGGGCACCCGGAGAGCCTCCTCTACCAGGAACGCCTGGGGTACCTCCAGTACCCGGTGATCCTGGTGATCCTCTGCCCGGTCCACCTCGGGATCCTCCGCTACCAGGAGTGCCTGGGGTACCTCCAGTACCCGGTGATCCTGGTGATCCTCTGCCCGGGGCACCCGAGTATCCTCCACTGCCAGGAGTGCCTGGGGTACCTCCAGTACCCGGTGATCCTGGTGATCCTCTGCCCGGTCCACCTCGGGATCCTCCGCTGCCAGGAGTGCCTGGGGTACCTCCAGTGCCCGGTGATCCTGGTGATCCTCTGCCCGGTGCACCTCGAGATCCTCCGCTGCCAGGAGTGCCTGGGGTACCTCCAGTACCCGGTGATCCTGGTGATCCTCTGCCCGGAGCACCCGAGTATCCTCCACTGCCAGGAGTGCCTGGGGTACCTCCAGTGCCTGGTGATCCTGGTGATCCTCTGCCGGGGGCACCCGGAGAGCCTCCTCTTCCAGGAACGCCTGGGGTACCTCCAGTACCCGTTGATCCTGGTGATCCTCTGCCGGGGACACCCGGAGAGCCTCCTCTACCAGGAGTGCCTGGGGTACCTCCAGTGCCCGGTGAGCCTGGTGATCCTCTGCCCGGTGCACCTCGAGATCCTCCGCTGCCAGGAGTGCCTGGGGTACCTCCAGTACCCGGTGATCCTGGTGATCCTCTGCCCGGGGCACCCGAGTATTCTCCACTGCCAGGAGTGCCTGGGGTACCTCCAGTGCCTGGTGATCCTGGTGATCCTCTACCGGGGGCACCCGGAGAGCCTCCTATACCAGGAACGCCTGGGGTACCTCCAGTACCCGGTGATCCTGGTGATCCTCTGCCCGGTTCACCCCGGGATCCTCCGCTGCCAGGAATGCCTGGGGTACCTCCAGTGCCTGGTGATCCTGGTGATCCTCTACCGGGGGCACCCGGAGAGCCTCCTATACCAGGAACGCCTAGGGTACCTCCAGTACCCGGTGATCCTGGTGATCCTCTGCCCGGTTCACCCCGGGATCCTCCGCTGCCAGGAGTGCCTGGGGTACCTTCAGTACCCGGTGATCCTGGTGATCCTCTGCCCGGGGCACCCGAGTATTCTCCACTGCCAGGAGTGCCTGGGGTACCTCCAGTGCCTGGTGATCCTGGTGATCCTCTGCCCGGTTCACCCCGGGATCCTCCGACGCCAGGAATGCCTGGGGTACCTCCAGTGCCTGGTGATCCTGGTGATCCTCTACCGGGGGCACCCGGAGAGCCTCCTATACCAGGAACGCCTAGGGTACCTCCAGTACCCGGTGATCCTGGTGATCCTCTGCCCGGTTCACCCCGGGATCCTCCGCTGCCAGGAGTGCCTGGGGTACCTCCAGTACCCGGTGATCCTGGTGATCCTCTACCGGGGGCACCCAGAGAGCCTCCTATACCAGGAACGCCTGGGGTACCTCCAGTACCCGGTGATCCTGGTGATCCTCTGCCCGGTGCACCCTGGAATCCTCCGCTGCCAGGAGTGTCTGGGGTGCCTCCAGTGCCCGGCGAGCTTGATGATTCTCTGCCCGGCGATTTCTCAGAGGTTGGAATTTTTGCTGTATCGGGTCTGTCAGATTTGGCAGGTGTCGGCGGGGAAAGATCACCGTACGCAGACTGGGGTGGTTTGAAGTCAGAACTGGGCGGCAGGTAGCTGTTCGAAACACCATATCTGGGGGGTTGCGAAGTGCCGCTTTTGCTTTCGGAGATCTCAGCTGTTGGGCCTTGTTCAGGAACTGGTGAGACTGGTTTTGTTTTGGGCTGTGTGGAGACACCCACATTTTCAGCATTCTCACTGGGCGCGTCTTTAGTAGTCGCAGGTCTTGCAGGATTCTGTTCTTCATCAGCTGCAAGTTCCGGCGTTGTACTTGCAATCTGAGGCGCCGTGATGACGGAATTCGGCACTTTCGCGTCTCCCAGACCATATTCAGTCGGTATTATATCAGCGCCAGGACTTTCGGCGACCGGTGTTCCGAAATCGTCCTCTCCCTCGCCACCAGGTACGGGAAGTGGCATGTTGCTGATGAGCTCAGCGCCAGGACTTCCGGCGACCGGTGTCTCGGGGGACGTTCCAGCGACTGGAGATGAGGGCCTGCCGAGGACAGTGATAGGTGACTTGGCCGGAGAAAAGTCGTCCTCTCCCTCGCCACCAGGTATGGGAAGTGGCATGTTGCTGATGAGCTCAGCGCCAGGACTTCCGGCGACCGGTGTCTCGGGGGACGTTCCAGCGACTGGAGATGAGGGCCTGCCGAGGACAGTGATAGGTGACTTGGCCGGAGAAAAGTCGTCCTCTCCCTCGCCACCAGGTATGGGAAGCGGCATATTGCTAACAAGCTCAGGGACAGGACTTTCGGCGGCTGGTGTTCCGGGGGACGTTCCAGCGACTTCGGGCGTCTTGGCAGCCAAAGGCCTTCCGAGGACAGCGCCAGGTGACTTGGCCGTGGAAATTCCGTCCTCCTCCCCGTCTCCAGGTATGGGAAGCGGCATATTGCTATCAAGCTCAGGCTTGCTGCTGCTGACTTGGACGGATTCTGGTCGCTCTGAGGGTAGTGTGCTTTTAACGGAGGGGAAAGGCGATGCCTCGTCTTCGTCCAACAAGATCTGAGCGTCACCAGGTGCAAAGGTTCGTCGAGATCCCCCGACTTCCGAGCCGGCCGGTGCTTTTCTGGTGTATTCGTTTCCAGCGGCGGGACTTGTGCCGCCAGCGAGCTCAGGCTTAGCATCTTTCGAATACTGTTGTGCATTTTTCAGTCCAGGTAAATCATCTCCATCTTGAGTCTGCGTTTGCGACTTGCGCTCACGTGGGCTAACGCTCTGTTGGATATTCGGTCCAGGAGATTTCACTTCTTCTCCAGATTTATCCAAAACAGACTTTTGCTCTGTTGTCGCCCGGCTTATAGGGAACGGAACATCTGGGGGCTCACTAACGTACCCAATGATCGGGGGTTTGAACTCCTTGTCCGGTAGAAGGTATCCGTCTCCGATGTCTGGGAGCGAAGATCCTGGTCTGCCACGACCACCACCAGATCCTGGCGTGCCACGTCCACCACCGGGCCCTGGTGTGCCACGTCCACCACCAGGCCCTGGTGTGCCACGTCCACCACCGGATCCTGGTGTGCCACGTCCACCACCAGACCCTGGTGTGCCACGTCCACCACCAGGCCCTGGTGTGCCACGTCCACCACCGGATCCTGGCGTGCCACGTCCACCACCAGACCCTGGTGTGCCACGTCCACCACCAGGCCCTGGTGTGCCACGTTCACCACCGGATCCTGGTGTGCCACGTCCACCACCAGACCCTGGTGTGCCACGTCCACCACCAGGCCCTGGTGTGCCACGTCCACCACCGGATCCTGGTGGACCTTGCCCACCTCCAGATCCAGGTATTCCAGAGCCTGGCGATCCTTGCCCGTCACCAGACCCTGGCGGACCCTCCCCACCTCCATATCCTGGTCTTCCACTGCCTGGTGGGCCTTGTCCACCTCCAGATCCAGGCCTTCCAGAGCCTGGAGATCCTTGCCCGTCACCAGACCCTGGCGGACCCTCCCCACCTCCATATCCTGGTCTTCCACTACCTGGTGGGCCTTGTCCACCTCCAGATCCAGGTCTTCCAGACCCTGGTGTACCACGTCCAGCACCAGACCCTGGTGTGCCACGTCCGCCACCAGACCCTGGTGTGCCACGTCCACCACCAGACCCTGGTGTGCCACGTCCACCACCGGATCCTAGTGGGCCTTGCCCACCTCCAGATCCAGGTCTTCCAGAGCCTGGCGATCCTTGCCCGTCACCAGACCCTGGCGGACCCTCCCCACCTCCATATCCTGGTCTTCCACTACCTGGCGGACCTTGTCTACCTCCAGATTCAGGTCTTCCGGACCCTGGTGTGCCGCGTCCGCCACCAGGCCCTGGTGTGCCACGTCCATCACCGGACCCTGGCGTGCCACGTCCACCTCCAGACCCTGGTGTGCCACGTCCGCCACCAGTTCCTGATGGGCCTTGTCCATCTCCAGATCCGGGTCTTCCAGAGCCTGGCGATCCTTGCCCGTCACCAGACCCTGGCGGACCCTCCCCACCTCCATATCCTGGTCTTCCACTACCTGGCGGACCTTGTCCACCTCCAGATCCAGGTCTTCCAGAGCCTGGTGTGCCACGTCCACCACCAGGCCCTGGTGTGCCACGTCCACCACCAGATCCTGGTGTGCCACGTCCACCACCAGGCCCTGGTGTGCCACGTCCACCACCGGACCCTGGTGTGCCACGGCCACCACCAGACCCTGGTGTGCCACGTCCGCCACCAGATCCTGATGGGCCTTGTCCACCTCCAGAGCCGGGTCTTCCAGAGCCTGGCGATCCTTGCCCGTCACCAGACCCTGGCGGACCCTCCCCACCTCCATATCCTGGTCTTCCAGTACCTGACGGACCTTGTCCACCCCCAGATCCAGGTCTTCCAGACCCTGGTGTGCCACGTCCATCACCAGGCCCTGGTGTTCCACGTCCACCACCAGATCCTGGTGTGCCACGTCCGCCACCGGACCCTGGTGTGCCACGTCCGCCACCGGATCCTGGTGGGCCTTGTCCACCTCCAGATCCAGGTCTTCCAGTGCCTGGTAATCCCTGCCCTTCACCAGACCCTGGCGGGCCCTGCCCACCACCAGATCCAGGTCTTCCACTGCCTGATGGGCCTTGTCCACCTCCAGATCCAGGTCTTCCAGAGCCTGGCGATCCTTGCCCGCCACCAGACCCTGGCGGGCCCTCCCCACCTCCATATCCTGGTCCAGGTCTTACAGACCCTGGTGATCCTTGCCCGCCACCGGACCCTGGTGTGCCGCGATCACTACCGGACCCTGGTGTGCCACGTCCACCACCAGGCCCTGGTGTACCACGTCCATCATCCGATCCTGCTGGTCCTTGTCTATCTCCAGATCCAGATGGACCTCGCCCACCACCAGCTCCCGGTCCATCAGATCCTGGTGAGCCTTGCACAGTGCCGAAACCCGGTGATCCGCGCCCGCCGCCAGATCCTATTCCACCAGGTCCTGGTGATCCTTGTCCTGCACCAGACCCTGATGGGCCACGGCCAGATCCTGGTCCACCTCTTCCACCACTCGGCTTTGGATACGCTCCGCCGGGAGAGCCTAGCTCTTCATCGCTGTCCCGAGGCACAGCGGTGGATGGCGAATCTGCGCTGGCTGTGCCTGAGCCGGGCTTGCCGGGACCCTCGGGACCATCTTCTTCGTAGACAGCGGTCCCTGGCGTGAACTCGGTGTCCGGCGGAAGGTAGCCGTAGCTGCTGTGGTCCCTTGAACGTGGCTTGTCACTTCCCGCGGCTGGGGAGCCAGGCTTGACGCCACTTTCTTCCTCTTCAGGTGCAGCTCCTCCTAGGCCCGGCCCGCCAGGCTCTCCTGCTGATGCTCCTGGGACTGACGCTTCTCCAGTACCTCGCAGGCCTGGTTTAATGCTGCCCTCAGGGCTCGTTCCTCCGAGTCCCGAGCCCGCTGGTTTCTGGCCTAATCCCACACCGCCGGGGGCACCTGCTCGATCTCCTGCTAGTGTTTTGATGGTGCCGATGACGGTTGGGCTGCCTCTTGGGCGAGCCGCTCCTGTCTCGTCGCCAGATGTCGCACCAGACGGCTGATCCGACGTCGGTTTCGGGAGCCCACCGCCAGGGGCGACAGAGACGCCATCTGGTCCCACGGACGTTGGCTCTGCATCGCCACCCGTCTGGGGGTCTCCTCTGCCGGTACTCTTACCTGGTTCTCCTGAGGTTGCCTTGACCGATGCACCTGTTCCGGTGCCCGCGCTTGCGCCACCCTTACCGCTTCCCTTTCCACGGGTGCCTGCGCCTGGGTACCCTTCACCGTCTCCCTCTCCACCGGGGCCTGCGCCTGGGTATCCCTCACCGTCTCCCTCTCCACCGGGGCCTGCGCCTGGGTACCCCTCACCGTCTCCCTCTCCACCGGGGCCTGCGCCTGGGTACCCTTCACCGTCTCCCTCTCCACCGGGGCCTGCGCCTGGGTACCCCTCACCGTCTCCCTCTCCACCGGGGCCTGCGCCTGGGTACCCTTCACCGTCTCCCTCTCCACCGGGGCCTGCGCCTGGGTATCCCTCACCGTCTCCCTCTCCACCGGGGCCTGCGCCTGGGTACCCCTCACCGTCTCCCTCTCCACCGGGGCCTGCGCCTGGGTACCCTTCACCGTCTCCCTCTCCACCGGGGCCTGCGCCTGGGTATCCCTCACCGTCTCCCTCTCCACCGGGGCCTGCGCCTGGGTACCCCTCACCGTCTCCCTCTCCACCGGGGCCTGCGCCTGGGTATCCCTCACCGTCTCCCTCTCCACCGATGCCGGCGCCTGGGTATCCCTCACCGTCTCCCTCTCCACCGGGGCCTGCGCCTGGGTACCCCTCACCGTCTCCCTCTCCACCGATGCCGGCGCCTGGGTATCCCTCACCGTCTCCCTCTCCACCGGGGCCTGCGCCTGGGTACCCCTCACCGTCTCCCTCTCCACCGATGCCGGCGCCTGGGTATCCCTCACCGTCTCCCTCTCCACCGGGGCCTGCGCCTGGGTACCCCTCACCGTCTCCCTTTCCACCGGTGCCTGCGCCTGCGCTTCCCTTCCCATCTCCTTTTCCGCCTGGTGCCGATCCCAGCCCTAGGTCCTGTGGCGGCGGGACGGGATCGGATGGCGAGGAGACCGTGCCCCTGGCGGTGCCGGGTTCGCCCGGTCCGCTCGGCCCCTCTCCCTCCTCTCCTAATAACTCGGGCGGGATGGGCGTGCCGTCTTCGTAGAAGCCGGGCGTGAAGGCGCCGTACGGCGGCAGGTAATCATCGCCCCAGCGACCCCCGCCCCGCCTACGGCCATTATCCCTGTTCGACCCGTCCTCGTCTGTCGCGTCGTCGTCGGCGAGGGAAGGATCGAGGGCGTCGGGATCGCCCTCGCCGCCGCTGCCGGTCGCCGCAGCTGCGCCTGGGTACCCCTCACCGTCTTCCTTTCCACCAGTGCCTGCGCCTGGGTACCCCTCACCGTCTCCCCTTCCACCGGTGCCTACGCCTGGGTACCCCTCGCTGTCTTCCTTTCCACCGGGGCCTGTGCCTGGGTACCCCTCACCGTCTCCCTTTCCACCGGTGCCTGCGCCTGCGTTTCCCTTCCCATCTCCTTTTCCGCCTGGTGCCGATCCCAGCCCTAGGTCCTGCGGCGGCGGGACGGGATCGGATGGCGAGGAGACCGTGCCCCTGGCGGTGCCGGGTGCGCCTGGTCCGCTCGGCCCCTCTCCCTCCTCTCCTAATAACTCGGGCGGGATGGGCGTGCCGTCTTCGTAGAAGCCGGGCGTGAAGGCGCCGTACGGCGGCAGGTAATCATCGCCCCAGCGACCCCCGCCCCGCCTACGGCCATTACCCCCTTTCGACCCGTCCTCGTCTGTCGCGTCGTCGTCGGCGAGGGAAGGATCGAGGGCGTCGGGATCGCCCTCGCCGCCGCTGCCGGTCGCCGCAGCTGCGCCGCCAGCTAAAAGAACGTGCAAGGTCACGACATGCTCGCGGTGCTAAAACGTGGGCAGTGCATACCAAGATCGCACATGCTGTGCTCATGCATCAGTAGAAATGGACAGGTGTAGCAAAGATCCACGTGCTTGTAGGAGATAATGTTAGGTGCATCATTAGATCAGAGATCAGAAACGTCCTATTCGGACGCAAAAATCCCGGATGTTCTCTCACGATTCGTTTCTGTTATTCGTGACTAATAACAAAGTAGTAAGAAAAGGAGAAACCGATGATGCATACTCCATGGGTTCCATTTCAAGATGCCAGAGAATTATGTGCACTGCAGCCAGTCGGTGAGAGATGTCACGTGCATATCCATGCAAGATGCAGCCGCTATGCATACACCGTCGTACCTGTGTCTGCTCTCAGCTCAACGCCTGTCATCAAACCCGCCCCCTCTGACATCATGTGTTTCTACCCCAAGCTACCATGCAGGTCAGGTTTGCCCTCCGGCGAGTCTCACCGCCCCCGCTTCCGCAGCCAGCAGCAAGCAAGTGGCCGACCACCGATCGGCGGGACCCGCCCCACGAGACTCACGTATAGCCGTGCAGGAGGGCTTGCCCTCGCGGTCTTCGGTGCACCGGAAGCCAACACGACACTTGATGGTGTCGCAGTCGGGCGCGCGCGGCCTGCGGCACACGCTGGCGCAGCCGTTGGAGCAGCACTTGGAATCGTTAAGGCACTGCGAGTCGTACTGGCACGAGCTCCTGCAGCCGCCGCGGGGCAGCGTGTCGCTGGAGACCCTCGGGCAGAGGCCAGGCTTCTCGGCTGGGGACGGAAGGCCTGGTCAAGCGCCACTCAAACAGGCGGCGAACGTGTCTGGCTGCAAGAGGTGCGAGACAGGGTGCACTCTATGATCTTAATTTGGCTATCACAAGCCCACAGTTGCAGTGTTTAGTGTCGTCGGCAGAGGGGCCGGAGAGCCAGAGAACCAGTCAGAGTTGGCAGCGTATTAAATCGACTAGTGACCCGTGGGAGCTGCAGCGTCCCCGTACCGACTGTCCACAGCCCCTCCTCTGCTCGTGCATAAACCCCGAACACGTGCAATCAGGGGTAAGGAAGGAAAAGTGCCGTAAACGTACGGCCAGAATTCATCAGATTAATTGCCAGCAGTGAAGTATTATCAGCGCGAAACCGCGACGCCATCGTCTATTCCGTTCGTGACTTAACCGTGTGATGAGCACGGTTGTTTTGAACAGCAAAGAGACGTCAGGACTGGTTTGTGAAGTAAACCCCCATTATCATAACAAGGGTAGATGAACGGTGAAAATGCCAACTACAATCGAACGGCTGCCATCAGGAATCCTTTCTCAGAACAAAAATGTGGTCAGCACGATTTGATGAACGCATGAACGTCTGATAAACGCAGCAGGATAACTTTGATAAACTTTCTCGCGATGCATCCAAAGAGCTGCACACCGTCGGCCCTTGTTGTCCTGGTCTCCAGAAGGTCTCCAGAACGTCACGCGCCCCCACTGACCCGTCGATAAGCACTGGGCGTCGCCGGCGATGCTGCTGACGCACGCGGTGCCCTCGGAGCAGGTCAGGTCGGCGCAGAGCTTGCGCAGGTCGGCCGGCATGCAGCGGTTGCCGCAGCCGTCGGCATTGCAGCACCTGAGTCCCTCCGGACACTGCTCGTCGTACTCGCACTGGTCGCTGCTGTCCGCCGGACAGCGCACCCTGGGGGCCACCACCGGACAGCGGCCCGGCCGCGGCGCTGCGCACAGAGCAGGCGGCAGTCAGGTCAACAGCGCACAGCGGCCCGGCCGCGGCGCTGCGCACAGAGCAGGCGGCAGTCAGGTCAACAGCGCACAGCGGCCCGGCCGCGGCGCTGTGCACAGAGCAGGCGGCCGTCAGGTCAGCAGCGCACAGCGGCCCGGCCGCGGCGCTGTGCACAGAGCAGGCGGCCGTCAGGTCAGCAACTCACAGCGGCCCGGCCGCGGCGCTGTGCACAGAGCAGGTGGCCGTCAGGTCAGCAGCGCACAGCGGCGCCACCATACCAGCTGGTTGCTTATAATCACGTGAATGCCTCTACATCTCGCAAAGCCGTGTGACCCAACTTCTTCTCTTGAGTTCACGTGAGATGCACACATGGCCTATAATGCGGCATGGATAACCAAACGGATTGGCCCTAGTCATGGCAGCCCAGGACTCCTTACCTGTGCTAACGCACTGCGCGTCACTGACGCCGTCGTCGACGCAGGAGTATCCCTCCTCGCAGTCACGGTCCTCGCAGCGTTTACGCAGGTCGGGCGGTGCGCAGACGCTCGCGCAGCCGTTGTTGCAGCACCGCTCGTCACCGGAGCACTGGAAGTCGTACACGCACTGGTCCTCGCAGCTGCGGGTCCGCGGGTTCCAGAAGTCCGCCGCCGGGCACCGACCGTCCTTCTGGGCTGGAGAGCAGAGGTCACTGAGGTCAGACGGTGCGGTGAAGGGTCAAAGAGGTCAGAAGGAACGGTTGTCTGGCTGCTGGGGTGTGGCGACAGGGTGTAGAAGTTGAGGAGAGATGCACTCAGTCCTGTGTGTTCGGGACTTCATGGCAAACATTCCGAATAGCTGACCGGAGAACACAAGTGGGAATTCGTATAGAAGAACACAAGTGGACGGTCGTAAGCTTACGACAACCAGGAATAGAGGTGAAGCTTCGTCAACTTCGGCACAATTTCGATAACCACATGTTTTGCTGTTCATTTTTTCGGCCTCAAGCAGCTTGGTGGGTCATTCGGGTTCACCAGTGAAGAGCCACGACGAACATTCAGAGACGAACGCCCGTGAAGCAGAAGAAGTGACGATTATGTTGACCTGCGAGGCGTGGCCTAGGCTCGCGACCGTATTCGCCGCGCTCATTTATTATCGCGGTTGGTGGCTCGTGGCCCGCCAAGAACCAAAGGTGATATGCTGGTCATTGGCATTACAGAGCAAGCGCCGCAATTGCTCTGCGTCAGCAAGCCTTTGTTATCATTTGCAACATCCGCATGCAGTCATTGAACAGAATAAACTCGTGAAGTCTGTAAGATCTCACAGAGAACACGACGTCACAGCAATACTGATCGATAGGCAAGAAGCCCGAAAAACGTCGTGATCAGCCACTGATAAAGCACGCCTTTCACCTGTTTGACGGCAGTCTGAATCTGCAGCAACGATCTGCAGTGGTCTGCAGCGAAATAACTGAATCGTTGCATATTTTGCAACACTCCGGTACTGCGTCAGTGCAGCACAAGCAATGTATGTCTATCAACTCACGTCCTGATAGGGGCGAGGGCATAATTTTTTATGCAACCACTTTGAGGTTTTTGAGGATACCTCTCCAGCGTGTTAGAAATTTCGCTCAAGTTTTCACTAGGCTATGGATGTTCATTACGCGTGTTTTCCCACCAAAAGTGTTTCTAGCTTTTCTGGCTCCCGAGCAACAGCGCTTTTTTAGGAACACTGCACGGCAATCTAAGGCCGCCGCGGGCGGCGGGCGGCAGCGCGGGCAGCGGGCGGCAGCGAACGATGCCGCGGAATGCGTGCGGCGGGCCGACATTGTTGCATGAACACGCGCACGGGTGGGCGGGGTCAAATTGACCCCTCCCCCCAAGGTTTTTCCAGAATGATCTCGGAAGGGCGCGTCGTAGTCGCACCAAATTTGCAATAGCTGTAGAGAATTGAATAGCAGATCTTTTGATGCGAAAAATTTGGTGTGTATTTCAAGGTTGCTAACCTATGGCAGGGGATGGGAATTTTCTAGGGAATGGTGCAATGCGATGCAACAATGGAGTGTTAGATGAAGTCACACACATGTAAAATAGTTTCTTAAGCAGAAAATCAATGACACCTAGAATTACAACCACTTCAAATTGACCTAGGGGCAGGTATGAAGGTCAGAACAAGGTCAAAGCTAACCCGCTTTTCACTCGAGAGCTCGGTTTTATGGGGTAGTTTCTGGCGCTCATTTCAAAATTATTCATGACAGGAACCGCAATCTATGGGCTTTTTAAAGATCGGAGAAGGTCACTGACAAAAATGACGCAGGTCAACATTTTATTTTTAGGAACAGATCACCCGGCGTAATCCCCGACCTTTATTCGAATGGCAAAATAGGAACAATCTCAAAGGCACTTGGTCACCTTGGCCTTATGAAGGTTAAACAAGGTCACTTAACTCACTGACCTTTTGCTTAGAACAGATACCTGGCTTCACGGCGTTACGTGAGGAGTGTTTCAGGGCACTTGAGAGGCCAGTCTGGAGTTTGACATTGCTTGACCTTATTGGACCCCAAGCTCATATTCTAGAAACCTCAAACTTTGATGCAAGGGATTTTACGCACAGGGTAATCTGCAATGCGAATGTGGTGTCTTTAGTTATCTTAGTTTCCGAGATCTCAGGGGGTCCAGTTGACCCTCGCCCATCCGACCGAAGGATATTCAGCCGGCCACCCCGGCGCGTGTAAATGGAGCCATGTATCGTAAAGGTATGCTAAAAACACACAAATATATGCAGTTATACTGATAATTAAATAAGAAACACACCTGGCTAAATTTCATCTCACCATAAGTTATGGTCTCCTTGGTACGATGTTGTAAAGCTGAAAAAGTGTGATTTTGGGGAAATATTGACCTTTGACCTGCCATGATGGGATCAATTACCGACCTAACAATAAATAACTAGTACGAAAGACGACATTTTTGTACCAATCGAGATCTCTTCTGAGATCAATCCACTGATGTTTTCTGCTAACCCCTTCCTGTATTACGTTGGAAACGCCAGAAACCGCATTAACCGTCTCCGCCTATCAACCCGCGTTATGAAAAGCGCCGAATCAGGGCGAGGGTCAGGGAGCGTGGAGGGAAAAATGGGTCAGCAAGACTGAGTGAAGGATATGTGTACCGACGCCGGTATTCCACAATATTATTTGATTAGGATGAATAGGGAACATGTTGCATACATAAGGGACCCAAAACTATTTCATAACGTGAAAGCGCGTTAAGCGCCAAACATGAAGAACATCCTCTACAAACGCTGAAACAACGAAGATCTGCACACCTCAGTATCCGCACTTACTAGTATTGACACAGAAGGCATCCTTCAGCTTGTCCTTATCGAGGCAGGCGTAGCCGTCCGGACAGTTAACGTCGTCGCATGACTTCCTGAAGTCGGGATCGAGGCAGGCGTTGGCGCAGCCGTTGTTGCAGCAGCGCTGCTGTTTGGGACACTCGGAGTCATACTTGCACGTGTCCTTGCAGTCACCCCGGTACGAGCCCGGCTGGATGGCCGGACACTTGCCGGCCTTGACCTCTGCGGAGGGGGGGGGGGGGTGGAGTCAGACAGGGGGTCGGTGAGGGGGTCGCGTTGGACGGGTAAATCAATGGGGAGGGGCGTAGTTCATACGGGGGGTCGGTGGGGAGGGGTGGAGTCACACAGGGGTCAGTGCGGGGGCCGAGTTAGATGGGGAGATCAGTGAGAAGGGGAAGAGTCACACAGGCGATCGGTGAGGAGGGCCGCAGTCAGATGGAGAGACCAGTGGGGAGGGCCGGAGTCAGACGGGGTGATCAGTGGGGAGGGGATGATGGTCGGAACAGGAGATCGGTGGGGAGGGGTGGGAGCATTAACATGGAGGAAGAAACAGTCTCCTTTCGTCGTAGCTGCCAATAAAAGAAATGGCAGAAATATTCTAATAGTATAAGAAGTCTTTCACTACTACTTATCACAGGCTGCATTTGAACATTCCAGCTACTTCACTAGCTGCCATTCTACTACAGTAAGGCGATGTCCTTCCAGCTGTCCATCCGCTGGAATTCTAAATGGGCGTCATCATGCGCGTGGAATAGTTGACTTTTAGCTGTAGAGGCAACCTTCGCATTTGCCAGCTACAACTCTGGGCTCTGTAAGGATGTTGTCGTAATGAGGAAAACAGTGTAAATTTCGCTTTCAAATGTGCTAGCTGAATACTCAAGGTCCAGCGTAGCCCAGTGCCGACAGTTGCATGCCTTCCAAGGCCATGTGAAACGGTCTCTAGCTTACAGCCTAAATCACCCAAGGTGTCCAAAAGCACGATGAATCATCGATGTAGGAATGCAAAGCGTCATTGTTCTGTCGATCGAACGCTGCAGTATGCTACTTCTTTGTTTCTGTTCTCGAGATTCTCGTGAATAAACGGTGCGTGCGAATGCACGATTATCCCACGGTTGTGCCGTTGCGAACAATGCAAATGTTGTCACGCAGGTTCTGCTAACTTCAACGGGCAGGACTGGAAAGGAACTTCCTGAGCTGGAATAATAGCCATCCATTTCTCAAATACCGATGTCATCCTTAGCGTAAACAATGTTTAGACAGACACCTTGGATAACACAGCTCCTGTGACACAACAATGGGCTCGGCGCAAAGGCATGCGCTCAGTTATACAACACGCCGTGTCTCCTTTTACGTGACATGTTATATATCAGCCGTGTTCATCGGGGGGTTTCTGAGGCCTAATAATTTACATGACTTGGCTATGGCTAAGGCTATGGCTTACAGGAAGCGTAAATTCAGATGGCCGACTCGTTCAGTAACGTTGCGTCGTTGGTAGAGACCCCTTTAACAGCATGACGAGCGAGGTAATGACAAATGGCGCTCTAATCGTGAGATGAATGATGAGGATTAGGTCTCGAATAATGTACATGATACGAAAACTCAAACTTCATGAGGCAGGTGTTTTTTCTGAGCCCATAACAATGGGTTTATGCATGCATTGGAAAGTTTGTCTTCGTGGCACCTTAGTAGGTATATGGGCTCCCAATTGTTGTCTTAATACGTAAATCACATCGGCTGATTTATTTTTCCCTTGTCTGTGACCAAACAACCACAAAACTGATACGCTTTTCGTGGGTATTAGTCACAGTGGGTTGGGCTGTTTTCCTGTGTGGTTTTCATGGATCAGACAAATATCCTTCGTTTTAGACCCCGGCGTACAGTATTTGGTAAAATTTAGAAGGCGCTGTTGTCTGCCTCCCGGCCGACCACTTGTTGCTCTACGTAAGGTGTTGAGCTGGAAACGTAGCGTGTATCCCCTGCCTTCACCCACACCGCGCAATCATTTTCAGGCATTTACCTGCACTAACTGGAAAGATCTAACCCTAACCAATGGCCCACACTGGTAGATATGTGGTAGATATTCGGGTTGCGTTGCCGCCTGCCAGCTAAATGCGCAAGCGCGCAGGTTTGTACCAAGTCACGTTATCCCCCCTGTTAAATCGTGTTGGTCTAGTGTTACTGCGACTCCGGATTTCCAAGGTCTAGACATTGTACACTATACACCAAGGTTCCGACACTCGCATGTTATATTTGTAACTGGAACTTTTTGCTTGTTAGGCTTGTAGCTACACTTGTGCACATGTAGCACTTTTCTGCAAACTTTTACAAGACTGTAAGTTGTATGTTCCCCCATACCAAAAGAATGTATGTGGTCATAAGCAGCGTTACAGGGAAATGCGCCTGACCAAATAGGTAAAATGCATAAGCGCGCCTCGAAACAATTCAGCACAACTTGTCAATCATTCTGCTACTTGCCGTGCAAAACTGTGCGGCGGTGAAGTCAGTAATTTCGAAGAAATAGGCCTCTCAAAATTTAGTCCAGCTGGACCGAGCAGGGTCAGGGATAACTGGACCGCGCCAGGATGGGCTGGCTCAAGTCAGGTCAGGTCGGATCAAGTCGGACCGATTCCCTGGAGTAACGAAGGTGCCAGTTGGCTGACTTCGAGACCCGTTTGGCCTATGCTGTATTGGTCGTTATAAATATTTTGCACAGTAAGCATTGCTGGCGTCATCATACAGTTCCAAAATTTATAGCTGTCATTTAAAACCACTGGTAAGACGTATGCTTTTGCAGGTGGGCAATACGAGTTACGAAGACATACATAAGTGGCAGATGCTTTCACTCATAGTGACTGATTGCATTCGTGAGAAAGACACCCGGAACCAAGACACGAGATGTTCTACTCGCCGAAGGATCTTGCCCCACCGCCGCAACCCCAGTACAGCTTCCGTCACTGCCTGCCTCGCCAGCTACGGCTTACAGCGTGGATTAGGCAGCGGGGGTAACCAGCTGGAGCTACAGCTTGTGCCAAATTGTGTAGATGTTGTGCTAACGCATTCATTGTTACTGTGAATATACTTTATGGTACGGTGATGTTCGCAAATGATGTCTGCAGGGTTTCGCACTGAAAAAATGCCGTCAAAAATAAAGGTTCATTCGTTGTAATACCCGTCAATTTTTACATTCCAGTCGTCGTAGACATTTCCAAAGTTTAGGAAATAAGTTGAGCTGGCAGGCACCGTTCGCACAAACGCAAGCAAAATGTACCAGCAGGTGAGGTCACGTGCATTAACACCTGCTGGGTTCGCCTTCAGCGGCAAATCGCTTGACGTTATAGCCAAGACACACATAAGTAGATTGACGAGAGATATATAGGTGAACGCAAGCTGCTGAAAGAATTCTACACAGCGCTAACATGCTGGTCCCCGGCTCTGCACAGTGCTCGCCGGTGCAGTGTTCCTGATCAACACTGCCTCCCAGCGCCTGCAGACTTCTTTTTCTGCATTGGGAACGAGTAACGGGTTTAGATACCAGTTGGCCTTATGTCACAGCTAGTTGTAGCGTTCCGTTCAAGGGTGTCGATTTGTGCTGTTTTGTGAGTATCTTTGTTGAGCTTGGCCTACCAAATATTGGCTTACCCTTCCCCCTCAACCCCGCCTCAATCTGTTCGGCTTGATTCTTACCAGAAAGAGAAAACAGGAAAATTCAATGCAACAAAAATCCTATCATTTTAGGTATTTCTTGCTGCCAATCACTACCATACTTTTCAACTATGGGACTAGTTCCTAGATTTTTAAAGATTTTGTTTATTAAAACAAATATCCTAGAAAGCATAGAGTCAGCTCCTTTGAAAATTGCATATTCACGGCACGCATCTTTTGTCGGAGCCTCGCATCCCTCGCCCCCTCCCCCCCCCCCCCCGCCCCCTCTCCCCAATCAGTAAAAGAATTATGCCCTCGCTTCCCTAAAACAGTATTTAGGGGCGCAGTTTTGTAAGTGCGTCGTCAGCCTGCTGCTCAGAGTCGCAGTTGTGTGACCCACTGCAGCGGCCCGTACGGGCTGCTTACGTCCCGCACTTAGGTAAGCCTGTTTACTACATTGAGTTGTTTCCCGGTGGGGTGGAGTCAAAGTGGCAATTTGCACGGGTCCTGACGAGAGAAGAAGCGGAATGGATTTTGTACTGTGCGATGAATTCGAGCTGCTGGGATCGTCCAAAAATTTGCGGTGTTTTTCCGTCATTCTGAACTCCGCTCCTGGGTACGCGTTACTCACGTTGGGTAAAATTTCCGATGGTTGCGCTGCTTTAAGCGCGAAGTCCCGAAAACATAATGTCCGTTTCGCGCTTAGCTGAACTAGAGGTGCGAAGCAAAGACCAGAGGAAATGTGGTATGAGATAAAGCCAAAGGTATCCGGCTTTAAGGTTTTAAAGCATTTTCAAAAGTTACATATGGTGTGCAACCCTCCTCCCTCCCCCACTTTAAGCACAACATCATGTTCTCCGCTCCCACACACCCTTGTGTGTGGAAGCGGAGACCTCCTGGCCTTCCCCGTTGTTATGCATCGGTTGCACTCCATCATTATTACAACCATCATTTCGCCTCTGAGCACATAATATATGGATGATCCCGTACCTGGTTTGTTGAGTGTTTCAAACTCCGGCGGACAGACCTTTAGCCTTTTGATGGCCTGTTCATCTTGTTTCTACGTGGATAACATAGGCATAGAATCAAGCAAATACGATAAAACAAGCAAGGGGACTGGCTAACATCACCATGACATAACCATGGCAAAATAACCATAACTATCCATAACCATAATCATAACCATCGGAAAATCAAATGGCAGCGCCGAAACTCGGCTTTTATAGCAGGACAGACCATGACACCGGCATGAAAGCAAGACGAACGGACCATCAAGAAGGTAATTCGCCAAATCTACAGACTATTAAGAAGGCGAGAATAGCTTTGATTCACCGCGTGCTACAAAAACATTTTCTCTTCTCCCTTGGTCATCAGTACCAATCTAAATTGCAATGATGATCTCAGAAGCAAGTACGTGAAGCCCACAAGTTTATTTGTCAGTACGGAAACTGTGCAGCCCGTTGAGAACAATTCAACGGGTCCCACAACCGCAACCCTGAGTAGGAGGCTGACAAGTGCCTGCAAACGGCGCTCCTTGAACTTCTTGGGGCCTGCCGGTGCGTCATACCGTAATTCTCACC